GCATCGCTCATGCCCGGCAAACCCTTAGTCCGCCCACTTAATAAAAACTCCATAGTTCAAAACCTGGTGCGCAGAACCACCCTGCGCAGCACCATTTTATCTCCTACCCGAAGGCAAGAGCATCACTCCTGCCCGGCAAAAGCCTGAAATTCGAGAGTCAAAAGCCCAGAAATGCGTTGTACTATAGCAGGGTTTCAACTGTATGCTCCCGAACGGCCTCGGCCATGACTTCGTTTTTGTGGGCCTGTGGAGCCAAAGGTTCGGTTGGACCATCTGCCAGCACATGACACTGTCAGAGTCGCATGGCAAACTCCCACGGAGAAGCGGTCGAAACGGACCCAAAGAAGCGGTTGAACCTTCGACGCCGCGTGCGTCCAACCGCACAGATCCTTGGTTCGTTTGCGCCTTCGCTCTAGCCTCCGCCAGAGCATCGCTCACGCGGTCAACTTCATGACAACAACCAGGCCGTAGCAGTAAAAAAAGACCGGTGAGCGAGCGCTGCAAGAGCGGTGAGACGGCAAGGAACTGTGAAACTGTGAACGATGCGTGCAGAGCGCAGTGTCCGTGAATTCGTTCTCGCCAGGTGCGCGCCGTCTACATCTTCAGTCGGTGGGGGACCGAACAACCCCTCCCTGTGCAAGACGGGGACCGGGACTTCGGGCGTCCCGGTAGCATCCTTCTCGAGAAGGGGGCTGACCGTCCCGGGAGCGTCCTTCTCGAGAAGGGGGCTGACCGCCCGGGCGTATACCTCGTATACGCCGAAGTCGGGAGAGCCGTCTTGCACATGTCCTGCTACCCTCTCTCTCTCCTCTCTCCCTCCGCTTTCTCTGTCGGTCTCTATCTCTGTAGTCTCTGTCTCTATCTTCTCTGTAGTCTCTGTCTCTGTCTTCGCTGTCTCTCTCTCTCTCTCTTTTTGAGACTGTGTGACGCCTATGTTGCCACATCTTGAGGCAGTCTGGGCCCATTTGAGACTGTGTGATGCCTATGTTGCCACATCTTGAGGCAATCTGAGCCCGCTTAGGGGCTATGTTTCCCATATGTGAGACCTAGGTCGGGTCATCTTACGGCTATGTGTCCTATAGGCTGGGACTAGGTGAGGTCCTCTCGAAGGCCTCTTTCAGGTCATCTCGGAGCACATGTTCCGCCTTTGCTGTTTGCGTGTGCCCAACGCCCACGAAATGTCGATTAAGCTTGAGCAACGTTACGCTATCTGGTGCGCATCTTGGCCCGAGGTTGAAAGTTAAGCTATCTGGTGCGCATCTTGGCCCTAGGTTGGGCTAAGTTGAGCCCATGTGGTCTATGTTGAGCACATCTTGGGCCCATGTTGAGCCTATGTTGGGCCTAGGTCGGCCTATGTTAGGCCTATGTTGGCCTAGGTTGGGCCTATGTTGGGCCTATATTGGCGTATGTTGGCCCCATGTTGGCCTATGTTGGCCCTATGTTGAGCCATCTTGGAGGCTATGTTGAGCACATGTTGGGGATATGTTGGCTATCTTGGGCCTATGTTGGAGATATGTTAGGCAACTTATGTGCCCAACACCCACGAAATGTCGATTAAGCCTGTCCGCGCGGCACGCATAACCGACACCACCGGCACCCTGTTAGACGAAAGTCGTGTCCGCCGAAGGCCACAAAACACTGTAAAAAACGATGTTTTCCGCATCATGCGCAATCATGCTGGTAGATAAAAAATAAATAACATAAAAATCTGTCAAAAATCTGTCGACCGGATTCGACCGGGGGTATCCCCGCGGTCCAACAAAAGGGTCGGCGGCAGGGGCGGCGAGCGTATATAACCTTCGGTTACCACCGAAGGCCTCCAGCAAGGACACGGGCCCGTGGCCGGCGCCCGGATTGTAAGGGCTCCGCCCTGGTGCCGCCGACCCCTTTTTTGTGAGACAAGGCAGCATGGCTAGGAAGGCAACAACCGAAGTTGGACATAGTTCTGTTGTGGACACCAATGGTGGTGGTCGTGGACCTAAGACAGAACAACTGCTTATATAAAGGAGCGACCAAATGGCCTCAGGGGACTGTGGGTCCCAGAGGCTCCCTCCCAAGGCTCCCGGAAGCGTTTGAAGCTAAAATGCTTGACGTCGCCTGGCGCGTTGCCTTCGGAATCCTAAAGAAAAGAGGCGCAGGCCTAGGTGGCAGGTTCCAGAGGCTCGGTTCTAAGGCTGCAGTGCACGGGCTGCACGTTCCAGAGGCTCCCTCCCCACGCTCCCGCCTGACGCAGGCAATGCTGCGGTGCAGGAGTAGGCCAAAGGCGCCGGGAAGCTTTTGAAGGCGCCTGGACGTTGCCTTCGGGACCCTAAAGAAAAGAGGTGCAGGCCGAGGTGGCAGGTTCCAGAGGCTCAGTTCTAAGGCTGCAGCGCATGGGCTGCACGTTCCAGAGGCTCCCTCCCCAGACTCCCGCCTGACGCAAAGGCTGCGGTGCAGGAGTAGGCCAAACGCGCGCTTGGGGCCTAAGCCAAAGGTGCCGGGAAGGGTTTGAAGGTGCCGGGAAGGCGCCTGGCGCGTTGCCTTCGGGACGCTAAAGAAAAGAGGCGCAGGCCGAGGCGGCAGGTTCCAGAGGCTCAGGTCCAAGGCTGCAGTCCACAGGCTGCAGAGGCTCTCTCAAGGCTCCCGCCTGACGCAGGCAAGGCTGCAGTGCAGGAGTAGGCAGCGGAGCCACGGCAAAACGCTCTGGATCTGCTTGGCCTCGGCCACAAGGGCTCCACGGCGTGACGGAACTCGTTGAATGCGAGCGGACGCACGACGTGTGGTTGCAGACACTTCAGAACGAGATTCGCAACGGGACATTGTCCCCGACAAACCACGCTTTCCTGCATGGAGCTGAGACGGATGTGCCAGGGAGTTGGAATGGACAGGGACTAGATTGTGGCTGCGCAACCTGCCACGCCTTGATGACAGG